ACTCAAAGCCATCCTGGAACTCCCTCGTCTCATTTAACTAAAGGTCACTAAGCTCCCAGCAGTTTCCCTGGCAGAGGCCTCTAGCCCCTGGAAGAGCTCTTATCATGAAAATGGGACGTGGGAGGTCAGGTCTAGAACACAAGGCTCCACAGAGATGCTGCAGCTGCTATAAGGAATTAAGAACCTTTCCTACATGAAGACTGGCCACCGGTTTTTCAACATACCTAAAGAAAATCCTCACTATCCCATATCTGAAGTCCTCCTTTCTTACATATTTTGGGTTGTATTTTTCTTACTGGGTTTAGCTAATTATTTGTAATAATATATCCACATTGCTCATTGCCTTTCCATTAATTTTCCATGATTGTCTCTATATGGAAAGTCCTTATAAAAAAAAAAAAAAAAAAAAAGCTACCTCAGTGCTTTACCCGTAGAGAAAGGGTGGAGATGGAGGCTGTGCCCATCCACAGATATTTATTGTGTACCCATTAAAATATCCACATCAGCAGTCAACACTTGTGAGTACTTGATTTATGCCAGGCATTGTACTAAAAGTTTTGAATGCACTATTTGATGTTATCTTCACAACTACCCTGTGTAGGAGGTACTTTCAGTTTGTAGACAAAGAATCAAGGGCTGGAGAAAGTCTGTGCTATGCTGACAGTTACATGGCTAATTAGTGGATGAGACAGACCCAAGACATCTGACTGTAACTATTCCACTCTGTTTCTTCTCCATGGGCCAGGCGTTCTGTAGACAATCTGGGAAGCTGAAAGAAATAGAAAACCCAGTCTCTGGCCTAAAGTTCTCACTCAGCATGTGTAGTAACCATGCTTGGCAAGGGGTCATCATGGGGCCATTTGTGCCTGATGCCAAAGGAAAGAACAGATAATGTAAGCTCATCACATCTGCCCCCGAGGACTGGAATGGGGAGGGGCCTTCAGTTTAAGGAGATCAGATAGTCTTTAGAAGTCATGTTTAGGCCAAAGCTTGTCCATGCCTGAGAGAGCAATGGAAAGAGCTAAAGACTCGAGAGGTCATCTCGGTAAGAGTCTGGGCTGCAGATCTTTGCACTTGAGTCTGTTCCTGATCAAGAACTTTTCTTGTAATCTCTCTAATGTCAGCACTTTTACGCATCTATTCTGGTAAAATAAGTGGTTGTTTCTAAAATTAATTTTCCAAGTGTTGGTTTAACGAGTGAAGGGAGCGTTTTCCCAGCTCCACTGTTCTCTAGTGGGAGGTTAGAGTCCCTGTAGTTTATCCCATGGGTCTGTGCTTCCATATGGAGAGAATTAAAGTCCAACCGAAGATGTGTCCGCTGCGGCTAACGATAGTGGGATGGGGAGGAAGACTTTCTGAGACCTGGACACGGTTCAGGCCTGTCCCTTTATCAATTGCTTTATGATGAATAGGGTAGATGCCATCCAATGGCATCAAAGGCGGATTGCCTCAGCCCTTCAGACGGAAGGCGCTTGAATTCTGTTCTCTCCAAGACTGCTTAAGGGATGGGGATCAGCCCTGCCATTTCCAGCCACCATTTTCCCATATCAGGACCTTTACAAAAGAAACAATGCTAAATAAATGGTGTCCATCTTCAACACAACTCTACACCAGGGGGAACACAGGGTGGAGTCTATCTCTTGAGTCTTTCTTTTTGCTTTTAAAAAATGTGTGACTAGAAGAGTATCAAAAGAGAAGGAAACATTATAATTGCTGAAGTTTTCTTGCCAACAAAAGCACCCTGTTCTTGGGGTCATGTGTAGGAGAAAGAAGGACCTCTAATGGAGAGACGTCTTTGGACACCCACAATAGTTTGTCAGTTTGCAGATGCTAATGGAACCAGGCTTGGTGACTGAAGGGGAGATGGAATATGAAAGCAGAATGAAAGAGGCCCTTGCAGCGAGCATGCCATTTCTAAATGAAGCTTTCATGCAAAGGAATCGAGTCTTTTCACAGCTGAAGATGGAATTTTTAAATAAGATGAAATAAAAAGACACTGGCTTGTTGCAGGTTTTGTAATGAAATACCGTTTTCCTAATCCAGTGGGTCCTGCATCCTCCCTGTTTTATGGTGCTATTCCTTGACGTACAAACCTGTATTTTCTCAAGTCAGCATTTCATGATGGATGTCAAAATACAGGCCATGTATTATGCATACAGCATTACCGATTTAAGGTGTTCACTTGTCAAGCTGAAGAAACTTGAACACGTCACCTCGGAATCTGCGCAGCTGTCACGGTTTTTCATGCCTTTGAATGAAACTTCTGATGCACACAGTTTGTTTCCCCTTCGCTGTTGCAGGGGAAGGGAACAGCCAGCGTGCACAGTGCGTGTCCTCGGCTATGTGGTTGGCCGGAACACATGCACTCCGGCGTTTAGGAAGATGGACACTACCCCTTCATTGAAAATTAGGCTGTGCACAGTATGTCAATACAAAGAAAAAAATTAAATGCAATCAGGGAATGAAAAGTAAATAAAACTTTTCTTTTCCTTTCTGAAAGTATGACACCCAACAGTATGAAATTTATACACAGAAGAGCAGAAAATAGCCAAACACTTTTGTCTGTTCTGGCATTTCCTGCGTTATGCACCTCCAGAACAACAGGCAGTGACTGTCATTTCCTTCCCTAGAAGCTTCACACACACCGTAATGCCAGGTTCAACCCCACCTTGTCACATTACGGGAGAGTAAGCAAGGAAACTGGTCACCCAATCTACTTGGAATTTTGTCCCTGGAAACTTAGCAAGCGACTTTGCATCGGTTCCTCATTGACAAGCTCACATAGTGGTCCATCGAGGGCAGAGAGAAACCAAAGTGAACGTGTCTGCCTGTCTTCCGAGCCAGAGGAGCAGATTGGCTCTTTCAGCCAGCACGGAGCTCATGCACCACTTGCCACGTGCTCCACGTGGTTACATTAATTTTCATGGTATGAACGTGTAGGTATATTAATGTCTCAATGTGCATCCTTAAAGAGGCAACCATTTAGCCCAGATGGATGGTTTCTCACCTTCACTATCTTGAAGTTACGCTGGGTCAAGCTCATTGTACTGTGTACTTGGGATTTGGGTCTGAGACCCGAAGAAGCCCAGAGCGCAATAATCATGAACGAAGTAGGCTGCTTTCCAATCCAGTGTGCACACGTCTACGTGAAAGATCTGTGTTAGGCACATGGGAAGTTCAAGGGTCCACTGGGAGCAGGCAGCATGCTCAATGGTCAGGATGATTTTAGCTGCAAGTATAAAACAGCAACCACTAATTTTGGCTCAAACAAAAGGAAAAAATATATAATTGTGTGTATATATATATAGTATATGTGTGTGTGTGTATATATGTATGTAAAGCCATCCTAACTCAGGATTTTTTTCCAAAAGAAATTTTATATATATAATTTATTTACATGAAATTATATAAAATCGTATGATTGTATGCATATAATCTTATTTGTATGTATATATCAAATCTCTTGCAGTAAGAACTTCTGAGGTTAGTTGGTTTGGGTGCAGGAACTCAAGAGCTGTGCTCCCTGCCATTCAGTCTTCCTGTCACTCAGTTCAGCCAATATCATTAAGCCGACCTTGTCCTCAGCTGGTGCCCGTCTGGTTATGAGACCGCTGCGTGGTTCTACAGGCACAAAAGCCATGTCCAGTGCATCAAAAGAGAATCTCTTGCCCTGGCCAGTTTGGCTTAGCAGTTGGAGCATCGGCCTGTGGACCAGAGAGTCCTGGGTTCGGTTCTCACTAGGGGCACATACCAAAAAAAAAAAAAGAAAGAGAGAGAGAGAACCTCTCTTATTATGCAATTCTTTTTAAGAGCAAGGAAATACCCCCTAAAAGCCCTCAAGCAGATTCTGTCCCATTTCCCCTTGGCTAGAACTCTGTCAAAAACCCATATAAGCCTTGCTGGCAAGAGAGTAAACAATCAATTGGTTTACGATAAAAAGGTAAGTTAGGTTATTCTGTGGTAACAACCGCAAAACAAATCTCAGTGTCTTAAAGCAATAGATTGCTTTTTTACTTACTCAGAATGCTTGTGGGTCTGGGCTACTGTCCAGGGCTGCTGCCAGCCTTCTTCTCCATAGCAACCCATGTTCCCGCATTGGCCATGGTCTGGGAGGACAAGCGGGGGCTCAAATACAGTGATACCTCGGTTCTCGAACATAATTCGTTCCAGGAGGACGGTCGAGAACCAAATTGTTCGAGAACCGAAGCAATGAAACCCAATAGGAAATAATGGAAACTGGATTAATTAGTTCCAAGCCCCAGAAAATGCCTATTTACTGGCCTAATTTGTATATAATATGTAGAAAAACATAAGTCTCAACAAGAAATAAAAGTGTACAGTATGTCTAAGGGTTAAATTCAGTGTAAAGCGTGACTCTCTCCACAAAGCGTGACTCTCTCTCTGCACTCACACTGATGACGCGAGCAAGGCGCGCTGGGCCGAATGAACGCCATTCGGCTCAACTCGGCTCATCTCGGAAGTTCGAGTTCCAAATATTTGTTCGGATTCCAAGACAAAAGTTTCTCGAATCTCCTGGTCGAATACCGATTTGGTCGAAAGTCAAGGCGTTCGAGAACCGAGGTATCACTGTACTGGCCCAGAAGTGATGATATGTATGGTTCTGTTCAGTTTTCGTGGGCCAGAACATTTCCTGTGTTGCATGGTCATATCTAACTTCAAGGAAGCACTTAGGTGGGATTCTCATGTGTGCCTAGGTGGAGAGGGAACAAAAATCTGAGCGCAAAGTCAATAATGGTCATAGAATGGTTTTTAGGGAACTAACAAAATGGGTTGGAATTATTTCTAATGCTATCCTACTGTGTTCTTCTAAAAAGCAACTCATCAGAGTTTATCCTGGGAGACCTAAATGTCGACCTGTAAATAATGCATAAGCTATGTTTTCCTTTTTTTTCTGGATTGTGTATGTACTCTGAACTTTCATTATTTCCAAATTTGCCACATCTCTGATTTTTCTCTCTTCTCTTTTTACTTCCCACCAGGGTTCACACCTCCAGGAATGGACAGATCCTCGCCAGATAACAGCCCAGTGCACGGGATGTTGCGTCAGCCATCCATCACGACGGGGGTCAACATCCCCATCATCACTGAATTAGGTAGGGGTGAACATCAGCTATGGGCAGACGTTGGTTCTCTCTTCCAACCATGTTGGATATGAGGAGGTTGGCCTATGTTTTAGCTCTTTTAGCATAGTAGACTCTAGTGGGGGTTGTTTTGAGGAAGGTTGAAGAAAGGTATGCCTAGAAATATCAGATTACCGAAGGGCAAACTGATTTGTTTCCTCTGAGATGAATAGACAGCTTCCTTCATGCAGGTCACTGTTTTCAAAGGAATCTGAAATGATGGTTTTGAGATTGAGGCATAAATTAGGGAAGAGGGAGGAAAGCATAGTCCATGGACTCTTGATAGTTTCATCAGAAGCACCTCTGGACAGCTCCTACAGTCAGAGCCTTGCGCGGGGGCATGGAGCTTCGGCTCTAAGCCAAGCCCATTTTGAGAACTGGGGAGAAGCATTGGGCTAATGTGTCATAAAATCAATCCGAAGTGAACTTCTCAGACAAAGGCCATTTTCAGTGAATGCCACTCGGGTTCAAAAAATGATGGGGTTTTGAGGGCCACGCTTGCTGCCCAGTGGAATCCAACGTTCGAACTGGCCATGACACTCCCTGTCCCACTTGTAAACTTGCAAAAGCCCTGAGTGGCCTCTACCCCGTCTCGCCACCCCCACCAAGACAGATGCTAACCCTATGGTCCAGGACCTGGGTCCCTTTACTTAAGAATGTTCCTCTGTTATTCCCTCACTCTTTTCTTTCTCTGTACTTTCCTCCACTCCCTTTCCCCAACCCTTAAACGCTGTATCCAATTAGCTAAGCCTGGCAAGTTGCCTTTGGTATCAGTCAATCAGGAAAAAAACAGTGGGACGCACATTCTAATGATAACTGAACTGGGTAAGAAGCACTGTTTTCCTTCACATCAGTGTCTCCTTTTGTTCTGCTGTGCTGTTCCCAGCCACCATCAGCTTGTGTTTTATTTCGGCGGCTGTAAGAGAAAGGCTACCCCATGGCACTGCTTTGAATGTGTTTTATTTGTGGCTCTGGCCGGAATCGACTGTCTTGTTCTGGCCTTTCGTAATGATTTTTCCCCACACAGCATCAGTAAACCTTTGATCACACCCATCCGACCTGGCAGTTGTTTTCAAAGCATCTTTGCTTGCATTCATTTTCTTTGGCCTGGGTCTTTTTTCCCTCTTTTCCATGTGTCCCCCTGCTCTCCCGCCTTCTCCCTTCTATTCCTCTTCCAACACACTGTCAGTTTGACTGACATGTCTTCACAGCTCTCAGAGGAAGTCAAAGGAGAAATATAAAAATTTCAAGATAAGAAACCTAAGACGGTGCCTTCCCTCCAGCTGTTTATTTTCCTTTATTCTGACTTTATTTGCTTTTTTTCATACTAGGCCCTTTCTCAGAAGCTCTGGTTCTGAAGCCATAAAAGCAGCCAGCTCCTAGGGAGCCTTTCTTTCCCAAGCAGATTTCAGGAGGGTGCCAAGGACGAGGTTCGCAGCCCCAGGGCCCAGCCCTGACCCCGCTGCCCGGAGCCCTCTCTGGGAGGTGGGACTCATCGGGAAGACGGACTTGGTCACGCTGCGGTGGTCAAGCCCGTCCACGATTCCCCATAACTTGGTCAATAAAGGCACCCATCAGCAGCAGGTCCAGAGCCGGGGATCCATCTTCTGATAGAGACAGTGAAAGTGTAGCTTGGCGGAAAGGTGGGCAGGGAGGTGTGGGGAGCACCTTGCTTTCAAGTGACTCACAAATGAAGCTAACGTGCCATTTTCTTGGCCCCAAAATATATTTCAAAATAAAAGAGCAGCTTTTAACACAATCATCTTGCTAGCAAGGTGTCTAGAAACTAAGGGATAGATTGTCCACCGCTCGGCACTGTGATCGTAGACGCGGCCATCTGTCAGGACCAGCCCCGCAGCGCAGCGCTCTCTGTTCCCGGCAGCAGCAGAGGTGTCTTTTCAGGCTGGAGCAGTTGGCCGAGAGCCTCGGTCCGGGCCGCTCTGCCCACAGCTGCACTGTGGTAAGAGGCCCTGGGCGCCCGCGCAGCCCAGTCCTCTGGCTGGCAAAGCTGTACAAACAGCAAAACCCTCACTGCCAGGAATTTCTTCTTTTATTCGGAATTCATGAGCTACCAGCTAGCGAGGATATCTTGATTTGTGATTAGTAGACGAGAAAAGAAACAGCTTTGCACCCCAAATCGGAGGCAACAATTCAGGAGTTCCATGAGCATCACAGTCTCCGGAAGCCTTGGCCCTCCCCAGGTGTCTTCTGTCAGCTCAGAGAACTGCGCATGTGCCCGTGACTCCCGTCACCCTCACCTTCTGCCTTAAGACCAATTTTTCTAGTAGTCAGACAGCCGTTGGCCATACGCCATCATCCTCTGACCACTTCACTTCCCGTGTTCCCACAAACATGTACTTTTCACCTTCGACCTGTTCTGAGATGTGGTCTGCATTAGGCCAAACCAGAAAAATGCCTTTTTAGAACCACAGAAGATGCCAAGGTCAAATGGGTTTTTTAAATTGTGCAGGATATTCCTGTCTTCACCCATTTGGAGAGCCCGAGTCGATGTCTGTGGTCAAAGACTCCTAGGAATCCCACAGGAAGGACACTTTTTAATAAAAAGTGTTCACTCTGCCTGTTTCCCAGTTGTATTTGACCTCATACCTATTGGAGCGATTGTTTTAATTACCTCTTAGCACCCCCATGATGACTGTTCTGTGACATGGGATTGGGGTGACCCTGGCTGCTCCCCCTCTGAGTCTGTGTAACCCAGAGCGGCACACAGGGTTTTCACTGAGCCTGCCTCACGCCCTAGAGTTCTTTCCCAACGACTCAAACCCAAGCTCCGTGAAAACCTAGAGTCTCCTCTCTCTACTTTGGCTGCTTCCCCTCTAAGTCTAGTCCCAGGCCTCCCTCGTCATCGTGAAAAGAGGTGGCAGATGCGCTCCTTTTGGAGTGTCGATGCACATGCCTTCCTCGGCTATTGCAAATAAAGCCACATCCTCTGCATGGTGTCCAGGGCCACATTTTCTGACTCACAAAGTAGGAAGACAACATGTGGCCCACAGCATGCTCTGGGGTAAGGGGGGGCTGCGAGTTGAGCCTGGTGGGGTCCCTGAGGAAGACCTTGTGGGCTTCTGAGAGGGTGGAGGAAGCTGAACTTCCATCCGTAGGGGTAGATGGAAGGCTTAGTGTCAGAGAGGCGATCCTGGGAGCCGCCGATCATTGTCCTGGGGCTGGGCCAGCTCTCCCAGCACAGCCCATGGGGCGTCCCCACAGCCTCGCGAGAGCTGCTAGCACCTCTCCCATCTTACAGAGAGAGACTAGGTGTGCAACGATGAAATGCACCGAAGGGAGTCAGTGCGAGCCTGGACCCAGCACCTAGTTGCCAAACTGCACCCCGCCCTCCCCCCACGAGCCTGTGATGCAAGTGTTGCTGAGATAGTGGGGACCCAGTCATGAGGCACTTGGAAGAACAGAGCAAAGGTTTCTCCCCCTTAGAATCTTTCTCTAGGGAAAGTGTTACTTAAAAATAATCCCATTTCTAGTTGTTATCCTATCCTCACTCAATCTGCCGCATACAATAAACAAAAGTTAGAGAAAAAGAAGAAAAGTTATCCAAAAGTTACTTTTGGGGAAAAAAACAATTAAGACAAGAACTCTAGGAAAGATAATTGGCTGCTGATACATTCAGAAAGGAATCAGAAAAAGGAAACCTCATCCATTCTTTTCCTAAGAGCACAATAATTATTCCAGAAATCACAAGCGCTCATCTCTTCCCCCACCACACACGTTCCCCAACTAGTACTTGCTCTGCAAAACTGATCATTTCTGGAGCCAGATGGGAATGGAAATTAATTTGTCATTTAATTTTTAATAAGTTGAAGACATCTCAGTGACACAGCCAGTCTGTGTGTGCGCTGGAGGAGCTGGGGACACATCCCGCCGGGGCTCCTAGACAGAAACACGCGCAGCACCAGGGCCGCCTCTGCTCGAGCTGAAGCAGAGAAGGCTGAGCTGTGTAGAAGAGGAAGGGAGAACGCCACAGCAGCTGGAGGAGCTGGGGACACATCCCGCCGGGCTCACCTCTGTATTAAGCAGGGCCTGTTGGGTGTGGGCCCAGATTCAGGGCTGGGGACACCAGCCACTCACTCCGCAGGCCAGTCCGATCCCAGGCAGGGTCGGGCGGGCCTGCAGGTGACTTCCCTGCTCTTTGCCTCTGCTGTGCTCCAAGTCAATTGCTCTTCACTCTCAGTAAGTTGCTTTCCTTTCCTTGTGGCTAAACTTAGCACCCCAGCATGGCTGCCTAATCGTGGCTACTCATCTTGAAAATATGTCCATCTCTCAAAGGACTTGGCTACGAAAAACACTGCAGGGTATTTTTCGGTCATGATTCTAAAACTATACCAAAGGACTGACCAGCACTGTCAACGAGTCCTCCCGCAGCCTGCCACAGGGCAAGTTCCTTGCTCTCCGGCCTCGGAAACTCAACAGTCACGTAGGAGCAGTCCATTGAGTCCCACTGGCCCCCAGAGCCATCCACTGCTTCCCCCATGCTTTCCTTCCTCTTCAGTGACTTCCGTGCTCCTAAACCACTAGCCTGCTCTTCCTCTGGCTTCGTTGCCTGTCTGTGGTCTTTTGAGCTAATTCTTATTTTACACTTTTTCTAGTGAATGATACTAATGTTCAGTTTTTGGACCAAGACGATGACGATGACCCCGACACAGAACTGTACCTCACACAGCCGTTCGCCTGCGGGACAGCGTTTGCCGTCAGTGTCCTGGACTCGCTCATGAGCGCGGTGAGTGGCTGCGGGATCCGGGAGTGGGGGCCCCGCCTCCCCGGTGAGAGGTGCGGGGCTGGAGCGCGAGCCGCGGTGGACATCGTGCCCACCCAGAGCTCGCAGTCTGGAAGGGGACCCAGGGTTCATCAAGCTGTCATGCAAATAAGCGTTGGATCATAAATTCTTGAAGGTTCAAGGAAGGCTGTGAATAAATCTAGGTGAGCACTTGACCTGGTTTTCAGGATTGGAGAGAGATTCCACAGAGAAATAATATACATTTTATGTTAAAATCCGAGCAATAAAGAGGGGAGATTTGGTGGGGAACAGTGTCCCCTGAAGAGGAACGCAATGCAAGGCCCTGGGGTGGTGGAACCTGACATCCTCAAGGGCCACATTCAGAGAGGGAAAGGGGGAATGAGGCAAGGTCGGTCTTATGTATGTGTGTATGTATGTATGTATGTATGTATTTACCCTCACCCAAGGACATGCTTAGAGAGAGAGAAACATCAATCAGTTGCCTTCAATATGTGCCCCGATAGGGGATCGAACCCATAACCCAGTATGTGCCCTGATCCAGAATTGAACTGGCAACATTTTGGTGCACAGGACGATGCTCAACCAACTGAGCCACTCCTTCTGGGCAGTCTTTTGATTTAAGAGCAATGAGGAGGCATCGAAGGGTTTTGAGCTGGCAAGTGTTGTGATCAGGTTGTTCCAAGGGGGCTGCCTGGGCTGGGGTGTGGAGGACGCTTCGGGGGCAGGATGGCTGCAGGGAGCCTGAGCAAGAGGCTCTCGTCTCTTACACTGGGGCAGAGCTGCGGAGCGGAGGGAGGTGGGTGGGTCTCAGTGCTGTTTATTGTAAAACTGAAAGGATTTGGAACAGATGGAATATGAGCTGAAGGTGGACGAGTACGAAGTGTCAAGGGTGACTCCTAGGTCACTGCCAGACACGAGACATACATTCTGCCTGAGGACTAAGCATGAGCGCTAGGCCATGCCTGTTCTTTGCGGCAGAGACAGACTAGAGTGGCGGCAGAGAGCGGAGGGTGCGCCGGCCAAAGGTTCACAAGCATCTTTGGTTTCTTTTTAATTTGATAGGCATTGTTTTTTTCACTATTGAGAGAGACCCAAAATAAAAAAAACAATAAAAATGAAGGTCCCCATTTAATGGAGCTATCCTGAACTATGAAAGGCAAAAGCAGACACTAGAGTGGATCATCACCTGGGGATTGTGACATGTTCCCACTGAGTGTCTTTATTTATTATATAGAAAAGGTTTTTTCAGTTTGGAATTCTCAAATTCACAATTTTTTAACATAGAGCACAAGCTGGACAGTACTGCCCTTTGGAGAACCCACGAGAAGGAGTTTTATTGAACACATTAAAATCATAAACAGCTCAAAGAGCTTTCATACACATGCATTTCTTAAAGAACTTGAGAAGGCTGTTCTATATGTGTTAAGCAACCGATATGCTCATTATGCATTATTCTGATCTTCATTAAAGACTATCCCTAGCCCTGGCCAGTTTGGCTCAGCGGTTGGAGCATCGGCCTGCAGACCCGAGAGTCCCGGGTTCGGTTCCCGCTAGGGGCATGTACAAAAAATAAATAAATAAATAAAGCTTTTTAAGACTAATTTAGGTTATTGTATATTCCTGAATGTGGTCCAACTGCAAGTGTATCTTAGTTAAACATCAGAATTATGGATTTAAAAATAATTATGACACAACATTTGTCTGAATTAAGGCTGCCTGGGCCCCAAGCCATACCAGCGTTTTCCAAGCCAAGAAGGAAAGGAAGTGGTCCCCAGGGAAGGGCTCTCTTGGTTTCTCTGGGTTTGAGCTTCCTGATGGCCCGAGGATACCGAGCCTGATCTTCCTACCTGCCAGTGCCCAGTTTGGGCAACTCCATAAGCAGACTGGAAGGCATGATAGAAGCTAGAGGACATGCTCATCACACTGCCGTATTCTCTGCAACGGTCCTCACAGTCCAGCTTCCAACCGATATCTGTAACTCATCTTTTTAAAAACTTTATTTTACTTCTGATTCTAATTAGAGAGATTACAGAGGCTGTTCTCAACAAGAGAGAGTTAAAGCATTTATAATACTTTTTTTCCCCAGAATTACAAATATGCTATTACACTTTTTAAAATTCAAACTTATAAAATTATTTGTTTTGACATATCAGCATTCAGTATATTCCAGGCAAGGCCAGCTACATAATTTTCAAGGCCACTTTTTCATCTGTTATTAAGAATTTCAAGATGGAGGCTGTGGGACATGAAACCACGTGAGGGCCCTTCTGAGCATGAGCCCTGGGTGGCTGCACAGGCCACACACCCGTGAGACCAGCCCTGGATCCAAGGAACAGAACTGCACCAGAGAGCATCAGCTCTACACAGCCAGGGGGGCGCATGGTGGCCACGGGGTGAGGGTGAGCGTGCACATCTGGGTTGGAGTTGCACAGCTGTCTGTCCACTGTATCACTGGGGAGTCAGTTCTTGGAAACTCAGATGAGAAATCAAAGTGAGTGAGTTTGAAATTTTTAAAAAGCCATCTCTAATCTTCTTTGAAATGTAAACTAAAGTGTTTGGGAGAGGATGCTAAGGCCTGTTGGATACAAATGCATTTCTTCTGAATTCCGCCCCCGGATAAGAGGGTGTCAGGAATCTAGTAACTGTCACTGTAATGATCAGCAACAGCAGCAGTCACTGAGGGCCCAGAACTGTGCTTGGCCCTTCAGCTCTGGTTTCTGATCTTTGGGGCAAATGTGAATAAACTTAGTCAACATATTGAAGCAAGGCATACTTAACTGATCTGCTGATAGTAACTTTACACATAATTAACCAGAATGCCTATCAAATTATTCCAGGCTTGTTATCATTGCCTAGGATGGACACGTTTCACAGTGAGGTCTTGGGTAGGGTCTGGTTCAGTAGACCAATTGGATCTACACCTTCTGATAAAATCTTATCTGCGATTTCTTTGCATTCCACCTCACCCTTAATTTACAAGACTCCTCCAAGCAGCAGGCGTCGGAGGTAAGCTTCCATCTCAGGCACCCGCTTACAAGCAACGTCACGACATCCGCACACATCTCTTTAGATGCTGATCTCCTCTTTCTAGCATTCCTCCCGAAACTGCCATTTAATCATGTGTCTAAACATGTCCTGAGCGTTGTCCTTTGTAACGCCACTCCTGCTGCTTACTGCTTCATTTGTTCGAAGAGGACTGTTTTGATTCGTCACAGGCGATCGAGGGACAGATAGGGGTGTTGCAGACGTGGCCTCTTGGCTTTCTCCTGCAAATCGACAGCAGACACACATGACAAGAGGGGATAATTATGCTTATGGGTTCAACTCTAAGGAGATCACAAGTAAGAAGTGTATTTTCCAGAACACCAGCTTGCTGCTCACACACATGCACACACACCAAGATGAAAGGAAGCCTCTCTGTAGTTAGATTGAAATGGGCACACGAGTGTTCAGATTTCTTTTTCACATAGCTACCACTCCCACCTATTTTCATCCTCAATGTAAGTTCCCCCGAGACCCTCCCTAGAAAGAAAAGTCATGGATTCAAGAGCCAAACTGCTTGGATGCAGATCCCAGCACCACCATTACTGTCTCTGTTACCTTGACCTTTCTGTGCCTCAGTTTGCTTATCTTTAAAATGGGGAGATAATAGTACCTACACCATAGGATTGTTGATATGACTAAATAAGTTAAGGTTATAAACTGATTAGCGCAGAACTTAGCACACCACAAACGCTGTGTGTACTTCTTGTTATTAAGCGATATGCTTGTTGGCACTTACTAAATGCCAGGCAGTGGCGGAGAAGGATGAAGACCCTGCCCCCACGTTGCCTGAACTTGCATTCTGGTGGGCGGGAACTATGTAAGTGACAGTAACTATGTAAGTAAAGCAGTACTGTCAGGTAGATAGCTCCTCTGAAGCGCATGGAGACCTGTTTTAGCCAAAGCGACCGAGTCCTGCTGTCTCGGGCAGCAGCTCTGGAGCTGGCACTGAACAAAGGGGAGGTGAGGACGACTGGCTCCCCAGGCACGAGAACGAGCAAGGGCTGAAAAGCGGTGGTGAGCTGGGCGTCGTGTCCGAGGGAGGGGCGATGGCCATGGTGGTCGGCTGGGGCTGGATGCGGAGGGGGCGTGCAGGAAGCAGGCAGACAGGCAGTCCTGGTTAGAGGATGCACCTTCTTTTGGATGCTACGGGCGCCCTTATAATGCCCCTGGAGAATGTGACCCTGGGAAGATGGAGGCACAAGATTGACCCTCTTGACTGTCCTGTCATTAACTGTAGTTCTCCTGAACTGCGTTCTGGAGAAGGCCAAGTTCTCAGCCCAAACTAACCCAGTGCCCTGTGAGATCCACAAAGTCACCCTCCGTCCCGAGCAGCAGAGCTGGTTGGTGTCAGCGCGCCGAACATCGTCTGCTCTGCGGGACACGGAACCTGCCGCTGCTGTCGCGCCGGGCCAGGAGGCCCAGGGTTGGAAAAAATCAAATAGTTCTCATCCCTCATGAGAGAAAAATACTAAAAATAAAGTATACACCGTGAAAACTAGGAAATATAAAAAATGGCAGCCATGACATGGAAAATGACAATTTCAGAGCAATTATAAACGAAAGGCGAAGTGCCATTAAAGTTAAGGCAATGTTATTAAAAGATGTGTTAATTTTCAGTTAAATTTTCTATAAAAGACCAATTAGTTTAAAAGGCTTGACAGCATTAACTGTGAAACATAAGCTCTGGTAATTACACTGTGAAAAAATAAAAAGAGGAAGATGCTCGGCGCGTTGGAGACACGTGCGGAGGGGCACCCACAGGGCAGGCGAGGTGGCCGTGGCTCGGTTCCTGTTGCACTCCATGAATGGGTCCTTTCCCCAGCTTCTGCCCGCTGCTGGGCCTGCTTACAGGACCTGAGCATCATCAAAATGTGGAGGCCAAGGGGACCACACATGTGACGCGGTCGGCTCTCTGATATCAGCGACGAGAACACAAG